TTCCTTTTTCTTTTTTTTTTTTTTTAATTAATTTTATCGTGGAAACGATCGATTTCGAATTTCAATGCCGTTCTTCCCAAGGGAGCGAGCTAATGCATCGACTCGTTTTACTTACGAGCACCGCTTACACCACGAGAGTCGCCAGACTCTCCACTGTAAACAAACCACTCGATCGCGATCTGATTCGAGTCGAATCACCGATTCTCGATCACTTCCTCCCCCGCGAATCGTATCGTCTCACGAACTTTTTCTTCCATCCATCTAAATTCATCGTATCTGACATTAACCCTCTTCAATAATCAACTCTATATAACTTGGTGTCCTTTTTCTTTTTCTTTCGAAAATCGGTTTCGAAAAATTTATCCTCTCATCCTTTCCACTTTGAAACGTCGAAAAAAACGTTCGACGATACTCCTTCAGAATGTGTATATATATATATATTTTTCGAATCGCCGATTTTTAAATTTTCTATTATAAATATTTCGACACGAAATATTATACATATATATATATATATATATATATATAACGAAGCGCGGTTTATTCGAGTGGTACAGCTCGGCGCTGTGCCCGACATCCGTCGTGAAACACGGCTCGCCGACTACTGAGCCACCCGACGCAGGCGTTGAGGCGTCAACTACTCTCTGCCCTTCCCCTCCAATGTTTGCCTCGAAAACTACCTGTTTGCGCGAATTTCACGCGAATTTTCACTGTTTTCCCGAAATCCCTTATTATTGATTCCGCCGCGCGGAATTATTCTTATCGGTGGGGGGAGAGGGAGGGAGAGAGAGAAGGGGGGGGGGAAGTATCGCTTTTACACCTCTTCGATTCGATTGTTGAACGCATTGGGGATAAGTAAATATTGAACGAATTTTTCGATGCTCTTTTCATTACCTTAATCGAATTTTAAACGTAAACTCTCTTTTTTATGTATATCTTTGCACATTGATTTTTTCTTTTTTCTTGCTGGTAGTTTAATTATATTTTATATATATATATATGTGTGTGTGTGTGTGTGTGTGTGTGTGTGTGTGTGTGTGTGTGTGTGTGTGTGTGTGTGTGTAGTGAGTAGTAGG